GGAAAGGACTATATAGTAAATATTTTAGGCTTTTCAAGCCATATGATTTCTGTTATGACTACTGAGCTTAACTTTGTAGCTGGAACAACACATAAACCAGTGGGTATGGCTGTGTGCCAATAGAACTATTGAGAAAAGCAGTCTGCACTTTGGATTATCCTGCAGGTCATAGGTTATGAACCTTTGATCTCTTGGATCCATAGAAAAGGAACACAAATGGTAAGGACCTGGGATGGATCAGATGCAGCATTCTGCAAAACACAGGGAGAGGTAATGTGATCCTGATGGGGTGTGGGGGACCGTGCAGGCTCCCTGTGAGGGTGATGTGTACATTAAGACTTAGAAGATATGTGGGAATAACCAGATGAACAGCAGAGTGGAAGGAGGAGAGTAATGAAGGTATAGGTATGGGCAGAGAACAAGATTCGCTGGGGAGAGCAAAGACTACAGATAGGCCTGACTACAAGGTAGGAGGAAAAGTGACAAGAAAGTCCTGTGTTTCTAAGGAATTGACATGGTTTCCATTTTACTTTGGAAGAAATTGACCATTAGTGGCTGAGATTGAGATTAAAGCTCGCCTGTACTAAAATAATGTGTGGACAGGTTGAAGGCTCAAATAATTTAGTCCCAAAATTTTACATTTAAGAAACAGACTGAGGGCCAGGGATTTAGCTCAGTGGTTCCACTGCCTGCCTTGCAAGCACAAGGTCCCAAGTTTGATCCCAGTAACAAAAAAGGAAAAAAGAAACAGACTGAACAAAAGGAAATATGGTGGCACAAATGACCTTAGTTTAGTCTTGTGGCTGGCCTGAAAGGAGGATGTGGCTCTTTAGGAGCATAAGAAACTATAGGAAAAGAGGGCCGGGTAGTGACAGCAGTTTAGCCCACTCCCTCAATGTGCTGTCTGCAAGATGACATGTCTGACCCTTGCCACGAGGAGAAGCCAAAGGAGCTTTGCGGCAGAACTTCCTAATGCCTTTGTCAACTTGAGGATCCTCTGGTCCCACCTGAAGTGGTGGATGGGACCCATCAAAGAATTCAGGCTGGTAACTACAGACCAAACATCCTCACTGGTGAGAGAGTTTATAGGAAGTCGCATGATTTGTGGAAGGAGCCCTGGCTGTAAGATTGAGAACTTCCCAGCTGTGATACATTAACAAGATTACTTGAACTCTGTCTCAGTTTTCTCATCTATGAAGTAGAGATCTTAATGCCAACTTTGCAGGATTCTCAGAAAGATGTAATCAGTGCACATCTGTAGCACTGGTGTCAGGCATAGAGGAGATAAGCCAGAAGCCTTTCACAGTTGGCATTTAGTCCTTTATTGCTTGCCTGCCTATTCTAACCTTGTTGCTATGGCTCAGAGGAGGGGTGCATGAGCGTGTCTGAAAAATAGCACAAGGATTAGTTCTTCAAAGGGAATCAGAAGTGTTATTTTTATGCAGGATGCTACTTTATGACTCCACTCTATGCTTTAAAAAGACAATAAAAGAAATACTCCAGTGGAAGCCCAAGTATATACTAGGTGCCTGCTGCCGCATTCTCAAAAAATCCTCTAGGCTCTTGTAAGAGAACAGTTTAAGTTCATGCAAAGTCAGTACACATGGAGAGCTGTTTCTGCTTGAAGTCCTTTATGTACAACAGGTCTTCCAGCGGGGCCACCTCACCTGCCTTACCCTTCAGAGGCCCTTCTCTTCGGTGTCATTCCTCATCCTGCAATAAGTCTATAGTAGTTCCATCCCCAGTCCAAACTCCGAGCTCACTTCAGGGAGATGCACTGGGAGAGAAGGAGTGTCAAGACTAGTGTGACAGAAAACGGTCTCGGCCACTCCTCAGGCCCCTCGCTCCCCAGCTCTGCGGATAGCCCTGTTCATCTTTCCATTTGTATTAGATGATTTTACCCAACTGTGGGCTAAAGTAAGTGTTCTGCAAGTGTTGTAGGTGGACTGGCTGAGCCATGGTGTGCAGTAGGCTAGGTGTATTTGGGGCCTGAAGGAATTTATCAGGATGTTACCCCTCATAAGCTGAGGACCATCTGTGCTCTCCTGACCAGCTGGAGAGTGGAAGGGAGCATCTTGTACGCTGTTCCTCCTTTAGGAGTACAGGGATCAGGAAGGTAAGAAATGCTGGTTGGGAAAGCATTGGCTTTGGAGAAGGTGACCATAACCTACCTCGGTCTGGGAAGTGTCCAGGGTCCTGTAGGTAGCAGGCTCTTCCCCATCCTGCCTCTTGGGAGCCACGACAAAGAGCTGTAGAACCAGCGCTCATCCATGAGACCAGACCGGTACTCTATCCCACCAGTCATGCTTAACAGAGATTGGGCTCTGTGGAAATCCTTGTCCTAGAATTCAGGCCCATTTCAGATGAAACATAAGGAAACACTGAATTTGGGAAGCAAAATATCTTGTTCCGTTGCTTTCTGCAAATACTTCATTTTAAAATTTCTGTTCATGTTCCTCTCCTAGTGTCTCATCAGTCACTTACTGATTTGTTGAGTTTGTGTGTCATATAGAGCCCTTTGTAATTTGATGCAAATACTTTTATAGCTTATTATTTTCCTTTTCGTTTGGGGTTTTTGGATACATGGAATCTTTAAATTTTTAGACAATCAGTGCTTTGATCTTTTTATATATAATTTTTTTTAGCTCAGATAATCTTTATCCACTTGTCAGCAGTCAACATTATAGGGAGGAATGCTTTTGGGTTTTTTTTTAACAACTAACTCTTTAATTAATTTTCAATTGATTGCAGCCTGTGGTATGAAGACTTTTGTCCCCAAATGATAGCTGGCAGTGGGAATTTAATTGTACTTGGTAGACATTTATAATTTGCTACCAACCTAGATATGACTTGGGTACCTTGAAAGCCATACGAGTGAGGAAGACACGTGTCTGCCTCTGTGCAACCAGTCTAGGCAAAGAAACGACAGCTCCAAGTGACTTCCCAAGGATGTGGCAGAGAGTGGCAGGAAGAAATGGACACTCATTGTGCCGCAAGGAAGAGTCACCAGGACTCCATCTCGTGGTTCCACACAGATAAAACTTCCACCCTTCCTCATATTGATATTTGGCCATTAAATTGGCAAGCAGCGTAAACTATCCTCGCCTGATAAGCCACTAACAAGATCATCCTATTTTAAAATCTTCATTTAAATTGTGCTTTAAAGAATCAGTTGTCTTATGTTGACAGGTGGCCATTTCTTAAGGCTTGGGGGCCTAAGTCTGAGATTCTCAGTATTTAACACAAGTGAGGGAAGCCTAGGGCTAGGAGGTTGGTGAGAGCACGCAGAACCCACTGACACTGTGAGACGGTGTTAAAAGTGATTGGAGATGCCAGGCATGCTTTTGAAGAGCTGCTTATGCCCAGAATGCAGGAGTCTGTGCTACTTTATGGAGAGTCTGGCACTGAAGCCTCAGCAAGAGGATCCTTTGGAAGAAGGCAGGCTCATTGAGAGCACTTGGCTTCATACCAGACAGACACCTGCACTGGATGTCGAATGCACTGAAACCCTCTTGGAAGGCAGTACCACTCAGTCTTAAAGAAAAAGGAATTCCTTTCGCTTGTCACACTATAGATAAACCTAGAGGACATTATCTTATGTAAAAATAAGCCAAGCAGGAAAGAGAAATGTTACATGATCTCATTTTTATGGTGAATCTAAAAAGGCTAATGTTTTAGAAGTTGAGAGTAGAATGGAGGTTACTAGGGGTAGGGGGAAGGGCTTGAGATGGTGTTGAAGGTATATGAATTTCAGTTGGACAGGAAGAATAAGCTCAAGAGATCCCTTGTACAAAATGATGGCGATAGTTAATGTGTACTTGAATATTGCTGGGCTAAGGATATAGCTCATTGGTAGGGCACTTGCCTAGCGTGCTCAAGGCCTGGGTTCTCTATCCCTTAGCACTGAAAAAAGCGTGTGAGGTAATTTATTTGTTAATTAATTTAATTTAGCTATTCCACTATATATACTTATATCAAAGCATCATGTTTTACCATAAATATATGGAATTTGTATTTGTCAATTTAGAAAGGAAAAGAAAACAGTGACTACTGGGCTTGGAGAACACACCATCATCAAGTGGACAGGAGTGGCCATGAACTGTAGGGCCTTTTCCTCGTCAAGGAGACATACCTTGGAAGAAGATTCCATTGTATGATGTCAGACTATGGCGAAGTGACAAATATGCCAAATTATTCCATCATGTTATTTTGTAAACTGCTTTGGGAAGCATGAAAGGCTCTACACACCAGAAGTGATTCATGTTGATAATTCCCCTTAAGTAGTATATGCTGGACTTTTCCCAAGAACACAAAGGCCCAACATAAGAAAATAGTAAGACATTTGTGCCTTTGACAGTCTTTTAAAAGAGGCTTAAAACAGGCCACTGCAAGCTGTGGTTAATGTGACTTACGTTTAAGGCTGTTCCTAAACTATGAAGAAAGGCTGCCAGCCCCCCAACATGCCTGCATTTCAGTGACCACAGGACATAAAATGAATTAGTCCAGGGTTTATGGGCAATAGAATGGTGTGTGGTCTTTAGAAACGATTGAGTTCCAGCTAGGGATTTAGATCAGCTATACCGTGCCTGCCTCACAAGCGCAAGATCCTGAGTTTGATCCCTGGTACCAAAAAAGGGAAACAGTTGAGTTCCTTTCATTGTATGAGAGGATATTTTCGACGTTATTTTATAAGAACAGAAGCTACTATATTCTTGGTTTCCAACTGACTCTATAGAGTTTGTTATTTAGCATAAAGGTTTCTTAAACATTTAAATTTATTGCACATTTCAGGGAGATTAGGGGGCCTTTCTAGAACAACCATCACATGTGCAGACACAGAAAAGGTCTTTTCAGTAGGGTGACAACAAGGAAAGGAGGATCTACCCCAGCAATCAGACAGGGCACCTAGCAGTGCACAGCTGAATTCCTGTTGATGAGTAGCAGGGTTTTAAAATTGGAGACTGACCATCTAAAAATCGATGTTTTGTTCTTCCTTTTAGGAAAAACTATGTCTACCCCATCACATCCTCGAAGAAAAAGGCCTGGTCAAAGTGGGCATTACCATCCAAGCATTACTTGACGTCACTGTCCCGAAGACTCTGTTCACATGAGACCAAGCCCTCTCCTCTGGGTCAGCTCAGGCTCTTCTTCCATCGGGGATGCTGGACTGTGCCCCTGGGACCCGTTCCACCCTCTCCCCTACTTGCTGCCTGTCAGTTCCCCAACTCTAGTTGGATTGTCGAGGTTTCCAGTCTAAGGGAGGACCTTTCACCTTAGAAGGCTTCCCTTGAAGCCAGCGAGGGAGCTGGTGGAGAACTCCACCAGCATATCATTGCCTTTTTCGACCTCCATCACCCCTTTCACATTCACTGACTGCCATTACCAAAATGCCAAGCACAACTGTTTTGCAGCAAGATGCATCTGTTTTATTAAAACCAAACTCATTATGGATTTAGTGGGGGGAGGGGGGATACAATCAGGTTTTTCACCACCAAATTTTTCAAGAAGTTAAGAGACCATTGCCTTTTAAAAAACTATTTTCGACATACAAAATATTTATATAAATATTATTTATTAGTAAGTTGTTATTCATCCTTTGGATGCAAATTGTAAATTAGGAAACTATTTTATTACTGCTTTTTTGTGGTTAAACACTTTATTTTATTATAAATATTGAGTTATTTTCTATCCTCTTTGGTGTGCAGTAGTTCTGGGTCTCAGTAATCATGTTTCCTGATGTATATGATTCAGAAAAAAAAAAAAAAGCAAAAAACAGGTGCCTCTATGACAAAGACTGTCTTCTGGGGAGGCATTATTTACACTTTGGTTTGTGGAACATTGGTCTTATTTATATTTCTGCATTCCATCCAGTTTCCTACATTCCAGCAGCCTGATTGTCCCCCGATATAATGAACTGACTGAAGTCAAGAGAGCACCCCAAAGTTATTTGTAAATAGCTGTGATTGGAAAAAAAAAAAGACATTAAACTTGAAGATAAAATGTGAACAGTTATTTTTTGGATTCATACTTCTTTTGCTATGCACAAAACATTTCACATTTTAACACAAAGAAGTAAGAAGTGTTAGCATTGTGTGTCTTGAAGTATAATATTGCACTGTAACTTGGACAACTAAAGAAAGTCTAGCACCAAAGGTAGATAATGAGGAAATGGTATAGGAAACTGGAGATGATTAAAAGGTTATTGGCAAACCCAATAATTTTTTAAGGGCAGCTTCAACTGAGTGATCAAAAATTATTTTGGGTACAGAGGACTTGGAGCAAGAAACCAGCACTTCTAACAACTGCGTTTTAAAAGAGGAAATGACTCTGAGCTGTAGGGCTGCTTATTTTATTATAATTTAGTTGAGTTGGTGGTTTTCAAAGTAGTTGGTAAAACCCTACAGGATTCAGTCTCTGGTGTGAAACTTCAGAAGTGAGAGTCATCAGTGAGCCCCAGGCAGCGCCGTGCACCACCGAGGCAGGCCCCAAAGGTTCAGTAAGTGGGGTGTGTGAGGCTGAGCAACCCATGGGGAGGCAAGTGCACAGAAGGCAGGGCCGGAGAGCAGCTGAGGAAGGGAGCCCTCCGAAGTAGTCTTGAAAGTCACAGGAGGCATCACAGGACAGGACAGCCTGTGTCCGACAGATATACACGTGCGTATCCGTGTTGCAGTTATACTTAGCCCAAGTTTTTTGAATGCCGGCTGCACTTTCATCTCTGAAAAGCCATTAGAAGTTTCTAGAACAGCATTAGGCACAATTTGTAAATGTAAAGGTGAACCTAGAAGACCTCAGGAGGACAGTGTAGATAGAATACAGACCTGTGTCAAGGGATTGTCAGGACCGCCTCGGCTCTAGGGAAGACGGGGGCTCTGGATTGTGTGTATAGATTGGCAGCTAGCATTTTTTTTTTCTGTCAAATGTACTGTGCACTTTAACCTAACTTAAAATATATTTTAATATTTCCTGTACTGTCAAATATCTGTGTTGTCAAATAGCATAATGATGCAAAGATGAAAGGCCTTTTGGACAAAGTATACACAATTTAACATTCAGAGGTTGATTATACAAATAGGAATTTAGACTGCTGCACCTCCATGGGCATTCAGAGTGCAGGATCCTGAAATATTTTTTTACATGTATAAATGGCAACGTGACGCTCTGTAATCATTGTTTTCAGAGATTTTTTTGCAAAATTAAAATATTTCTTTTGATACTAATTTTCAGTATTTTCTGGAAGTTGGCTGTATAATACAAATAGCTTCAGTATTTTGTAAAATGTTTTTTTTCTTTTAAATGCAGTTCTTGTATGACTAAGACGTCTTCAAGATCTCTGTACACTGTGTATATGTGCAATAAAATGTGCATGGCCAGCTGACAGTACCATAAAAACACAGAGTGTATACAGTGCAAAATCTTTCCTTTTATTATTTAACAGCCATTAAAACTTTGAATTTGTATAAACCATCTTCTGATTGACTTACCTGTCTGATACAAAGGCTCACACACACACAGAAGTCCTGGGTGTCATTGTTAAAACAGATTATAACAATCATGTATTGTGAATATGTATATACTCATAAATATGGATATATGTAAATGTAGATAAAACCTAG